ATACAAGACTGCTGGGCTCTGTCCCCAGGAATTTCAAAGCTATATGAGGTAGGGTCTGAGAACTGTGTCCCTGACAAATTTCCCAGGGATATTGTTGCTACTGGTGGGCTCATACCTTGAGAACCTCTGATGTAGGAGATTGGGATTTTAAGGCAGACATTCCAGTGCACATTTGGGCTGAATTAAAAATGATCTTGATCATTCCCTACTTTTCACTTTGAGTTATGTCAACCTGTTCTATTAGTAATGATGCTAATCAAATAATTAGTCATTTTTCTAAAGATGGACTTTCTGGAACATGCTTTCCCACTCTAAATATCAAAACAAGAACTCAACCTTCCAAATGTCTCTATTTGGTTATGAATTAGAAAAAATGCAGATGACAACTTCTGTGCTTTGGGGAACACGTATAAATAAAGTTCTTATAAAAGAAGTTCTTATAAAAGATAAGAACACAGAGATGTCAAAAACAGCCTTTCTGCATTACCTCAATTGAAAGAGGTACCCGTGGCAGAGAAAATAATTATTAAGATCTGAGGTCAGTTCTTTTTAATCTGTCCCCCAATCTCAGCATCAAACTGTCCACAGATTGGAAGACACCTATCTAAGACACAGAGTCTTCTAAGTCAGTGTCTTCATTTTTCTTACAGGGTGTCTGCACTACTCTCTACCTTTCCTCATTCAGGGATCTGTGTATTGAAGTCACGATAGTCGAGGGAACTGTTTCATATCTTAGGGCCTCTTAATATCCTTCTAAAGTCCCTCTAGCACACTTAATGTTGCCTAGCAGCAAGGTCCTCCAATAATAGACACCCTTTAGCTCAGAATCATAGCTCCGATCAATGCTGTAATGTTTTTAGTAACTGGAGTCCAGGGGCCATGACTCAAGGATATTTGGGAATAAAGTCAGCCTCCCTCTACCTGCACTTACCGAAAGGAATTAAGCCAGGGAAGAGATAAGCCTGTATTTGCAAACCATTATGGGGTATCTGGGAGCTGAATCCAATTTAAAATGCCTTGATTATCTTTGAGTTTCTTGACCTACTTTGCATTGGGGTCACAAAGGGAGGCACATTCTTTGGTATCGAAGTTGTGTTTCTTGTGATAATCTCTGAGGTTCTTCCACACCTATTCATGGGCCAGGAAAATGGCCTTGAAATAACTGGGTAGCCTCATTTGTGGCTGAATAACTCACAGGTGAAATCAGATTCACTGTTAGACGCCAACCAATATTAGGGCGTGGTCAGCAGTAAGTGAGGAATCCCAGGTCATTGATTCTGTACTCCAGGAATATCTTTGAGGTGGGAAGAGATGGACAGAAGGCTATAGAGTGGTTCTAGCCACTACTAACCTTAGACCCAGGTAGAAGAGGCCTCTTTCAGGCTCTACACTTCAGAGTGTGTGTGCTAAGTTGCTTGAGTCGTGTCCAACTCTTTGTGATCCTATGGACTACAGACTGCCAGGCTCCTCTGTCCATGGGATTCTCTGGGCAAGAATACTGGAGTGGGTTGCTGTGCCCTCGTCCAGGGGATCTTCCCGACCTAGGGATCAAACCCACATCTCTTACATCTAATCTGCATTGGCAGGGGAGTTCTTCACCCCTAGTGCCAACAGGGAAGCCCACACTTCTTAAACATCACTGTGCATTCAGTTCATCTGGGCATATCCTGAAAATGCAACCCGAATCTCCCTCATGATGCGGATGAGGCTAACTCATGGGCCACTTTTTGAGGAGGTAGAGTTGTACCTGTCCTCGTGGAGCAAGAAGGTCATGAGGGCAAAGGACTCTGCATACTTGGAGCATTTATTTCTTTTCTAGATCATTTTCTTGCTACCCAGGATCCCCAAATTCCTACTTCTATGGCTCTTAGCTCACTCCCTGCATCTGAAAGTCCCTTTTTTTCTGGTCTGTTCTTCTTAGGATGTGCTGCACCTCTGATATCCACACCCCTAGGCCTTTGGAGGACCAGGGGAGGCTGTGAGTCATGGGTAGGAATGATGCTTGGGTACGCAGGCTCTGTCTATGAGGCTTTTGGTGTTGTTGGTCAGAGTCAAAGTGGGAAGCTGTGGTACAGGCTAGGTACCAATTTTCTCTTTGCTGTCAGGATGCAAAGTAGAACTCTGAGGAGTTCCACAATTTTAAATTCAAAGCTAATCTTTCAGGTCATTACAGATTAGGTTTAGTTATAGAGAATAGAACAGATTTTTACTTACTTTATTATTTGTTTCAAAACTTTGAAATATTTAGACATATATGTGGTTCTCCTCTTACATAGAGGCAATGCCTCTTACATAGAGGCAATACAAAAAACTGATATAATTTGTATTGTTCATATATACATGAGTGAGTGTGTTTAATGGACATAAAACTGTGTGTGGGTGCATGTTAAGTTGTCCCAGTTGTGTCTAATTGTGCGACCTTATGGACTGCTGTCCACCAGCCTCTTCTGTTCATGGAATTCTCCAAATAAGAATACTGGAGTGAATTGCCATGCCCTCCTCCAGGGGATCTCCTGCACCCAGGGATCACACCCATGTCTCTTACATCGCCTGCACTGGCAGGTGGGTTCTTAACCACTAGTGCAACCTGGGAAGCCCAGACATATAGCTAGTATTTTCCAATTCAGGGGAATAAAGAAAATCTAACTAGTATTTTCTGAGTTGCATATACAGCTCACACTTATCGGTAGGAAGTAAGCTGTCATTTTCCCCCCCTTCTTCAAAGTCATCCTTCTTAATTGGTCCTTGAGCATCTTCTCCAAGACACTGCTGCAGCATGCAGACCCTCTTTGTTTTCTGAATCTCATCCTCTAGTAGCTTTATTTATTAGGAAATTTGGTTCATGTGTAGGCAAAATACAAACCAGACCTAAAATAACTTCAAAGACAAGAGCAAATCTAAGTACTTCTGCCCTTTCTGAGAAAAACGCAACACAGAGAGAGAAGGTAGTGAGGGATTAAGGAGAAGCAGGATAGGGTTACGGGACCCCATGAAATGACAACCCACTCCAGTATCCTTGCCCAGAGAATCCCATGGGTAGAGGACGCTGCAACGCAAAGAGTCAGACACAACTGAACATGCAGTCATGTAATGGTTATCATGTTTCCGATGCTAAGCAAACGTGCATAGTAAACAAAGGAGAGAAGACGAACTACAATGAACGGGAAAGACTCCAGCAAAGAACAGCTAGAAAATACCAATGGGCCACATTAAGATGTTTCAACACTCACAGTGACAACATCGGGTAATAGGGTGGGCAAGTGTAAGGAACTGGTACCATGGACCAAATGGGAGCAGAAGGCTTATTTTGGGGGCAAAGTAGGTCCACACTGTAGGAAGCTGGTTGGAAGAGGTAGAGGAACTTGCTCACCTTGTTTAGATCAGCACCCCCTCATCTCACCCTCGGATGGCAAACTCATTGAGGACAAGGACTGTCTCCTTCTACTTTTAAATCCCAAAGACTATGTTAAGGCTCCATAACGCTTGCTGAATTGAATTGAATTGAGAGTGGAATTTGTCTCTACATTTTTTTTTCCCTCTGGGCTTACTGACAGAACTAATGCTTCTTCTAAATTCCTCTGAGATCATCTTTTCTAAAGGCAGTTCCCAGGAGGGAATCAATGACTCCAATCCCTGTGGGGAATTGATGATTTCCTAAGGATTCCTAGGACGTCGCTCTCCACGCTTCATTGGCATTCTGCTGTGTATTATGCAAGATGCTGCTAAGAGAGAGGTCTTGTCAAAGGCAAATAAAGCCTAAATGGAAGATAAGCAGATTAAAAAAATCTCTCCTACAATGGCTATACAATAGATTATAATTGCCCCTAGAATGAAATACCTACTGCCACTCCCCTCCATCTAAATATAGCTGGCTTCTGTTTTTCTTAGTGTGTGTCCCTACAGCTACAGCCTTGGTGAGTTACAGAACATCATCTTCAGAAAATTTGCAGTTTCTTTAAAGATGTAAAAAAAAGTAAAAGATGAACCAAAAAATTAGGCTGATGCTTATCACAGAATGGTGTTATATGGGTTTCATGAGTTACAGCATCATAAACTTCTCAGCTGAGATACAAGCTTATGGAAAACATTTAATATCTAATTGCAGGTGTTCATTCATGAGAAAGGATGCTAGTCATTAAAGACTAGACTAGCTGCACCAGTGTATACCCACGATTATCAGCTCTGGATGTGAACTGAGTCTCAGGATTTTGCTAGTTTAGTCACATATCATGGGTTTAGTAGTCAGAAGGGTAAGATTAGTTAGAAATTTTATTTAAGTCCTTTATTGATGTGATTCTGCTTAGCATCTAGGGATGTATTAATAGAAAGTTTACTATTAATCTAGAATACCTGTAATGCACAGACTGTCATCCTGGATAATTTAGGTTCCTTTTATACCATCACTATTACTCTCCCCACACTGTTTGATTAAAAAAAAAAAAATCTGAAAATTTCAGGCCCAAACAGCTTAGGATAGATTTCAATATATTCAAATAAAATCTGGCTTCAAAATATTGTTCTTCCATGTTTTAGCTGTGCAATTCTTGTCGAGTTTGATTTTTAGTTTCCTGATCATAAAATAAGAAGAATATGATCAAACTCACTTGAAGCTTTTAAAGAGGACAGAAATAAAATATTGAGTGAGAAAGCATTTTGTAAACTTTGGTATGGTGCTAAAGAAAATGTCGGGTTATTATTGCTAAAAATGACATTTGTCAGAAAGTTGTACATCTTTAAAAGACCTTGATGTTGTGGGAGAAAGAGCTCCATATAAACACAAATCCCTACTATCATTTATTGAGTTGGATCAGGAATTCATCTGATCCAAAGTTTATTGGGAGTTGAACATCCAGCCAATTTCTGTCACTAATTGGTTGATGTCACCGTGTTATGAAGTTTCACACTTTCATAGCATTTATGGCAGGATAAATTCCCTGAATCTGATCAGAATCATTTAGTGAGTATACACACAAAAATGTAAATTGCTTGCAGTGTTTAAAAAAAGCCCCACATTTATTCAAACCTTTGAAGTGACTATTTCTAATAAAAGATGATTCCCTTGGGAAAGCATGAAGTTTGAAAGTTTAGTTTTGTTTGAATTATTTGTATGCAGAGATCCCTATGGGCGAAACTGAAAATAGCTATTTTCCTGCTTGTTATTAGAGGAGAAGAAAGTATATTTTCCATAAATCAAAAATAACTGATTATACTTGAGAGCTTTTTTGTTTTTTTTCCAGCCTTGGTCCAGCTCTGTAGCTTTTAAACAAACCTTTGCCATTAATTAGCTAATCTATGTAACACCTATCTCTTGAAGCTTCTAGACAGCACAGACTGCACATCCTCTCTGTTATAAAATTCTTAAGGCTTTTAGTTCAATAGAAGATCCCCAGAGGTTCCTCCATACATTTTTACTGATGACAATGAAAGCAGCTCTGATGACATCAATTAAATGGGCATTATTAAGAATGAGAGGCCTGAAATTAGGCTGAGCCTGTGATCTTGGAAGGAGAACTGGGCCTCAGATTCTGCATTTCTATCTAAAAGAAAGGCAAAAGATTCAAGAGAAAAGGGTGCAGGGTTGGCTTAGCTGAGATTGTCAATCGATGAGCTTGATTTCATTAGATAATTGTTCTGCTGAACTCTGCATAGAATCAAGTTCATTGAAGGGTGAGGCTGTAGGAGGGAGTGTTTTGAATTTACAAACCTGATACATTTTTATTGAATGAATCCATTAGTGAGCCAACGCTCCACGTAGTCCAAATCTTCTGTTTCTTCTCCATTCTTCTGCCACATTCAGAATAACCCATCAATAATCCAATCACGGAAAAGCACCAATGTTGAAGGTATTCTCTGTGCCTTTGTCTCCTGACTGAACCAAGCAGGTGATTTCCAGGATTTCTAGTGACAGGACTTTTGGCAACCTGCAGAGATATATGAGCATAAAAGTTACATACTCCTATGTAGCTTATTTTTGGGGATCCGGATGGAGTCTAATTGGCAGAGATGAGGTCATGAGACTACAGGTGCAAAGAAACTTTTCAGCTAAGGGTAACAAGGTGAAGGGCATTCTGGGTGAAAACAGCTGTTTAAGGAATGCTAAGAAACATGGCCAAATACGAGATAGATGGGAAGATAATTACCCCATAACTTAGAAAATAATGATGACCTTTCTCAAGGTCAGTGTTAACCTGATTCTGCTTCTCTGACTTCTGAGCCATTGTTTTACACCAAAGGGTCTAACAGCAGCCACCCACTCCTGTGAATGGGAAGAGGTGGAACCAGGTGAAACCAGAGGACAAACCAAGGCTGGTGTGTCCTTGGGTTTAGGTGTTAACTACATCAGTGTTGGAGACTGCTTTGGGGTCCCCACGGCATTGAGATCGTATGTATATATCTGGCCGTCTGTGCCGTTTCCACCAGCTCTTTGCATCCCCCTCCCTTTGAGTCTCACTAATCAACCCCCCTCCTCCTGGCATTGAAATCCTTGGCATGTCTCAGATAATCATCATTTAGCAAGCTGCCACACATAGATGCCTTCTCTTACGCTCTCCTTGGAAGCCAATTCCTCCTCCTTTGATGCACGCAAACAGTAGGGCATTGTCTGAGGATTGGAGAATGATCCTGGGCCATGTCACAGTCTATGTCTCAGTTTGCTCCAAATGGGTAGAAGTTTATTGATTAGTTTCCCCTATAAAACACTTTGCGATCACTGAGTAAAACAAACAAACAAAAAAACCCACCACTACCAAACCTCCAAAGAGCAGGGTGGCTGCAACTGCTATTATAACAGCACTTTAAGAAAAAGGTACGTGAAGCCCGATCACTATTTACTCTTTGAAGTTTCTATGCTTAGAAGGAGCGTGTTCTTTCAATGTTAATAATTAAAGTAAATTCCAAGTGCATAACACAGGCTTTTCAAATAAGCATATGCAGAGATGGTTTTTAAAAACTTTTCTTGATGACTTAGTTTTTTCCCCTTCCCTTTTTAGTATTCTGTGAAGCACTCTAATCTTTGTACTACAAAACAGTTCCCTTTTAAGATTCAGAACTTGCCAACAGTTGGATAAGATGTAATAAAGTCTCTTGTAACAGCACCCTGCTGACACAGGCGCTGATAGAGAGGAGCTGGAGAGAATGAAAGGCTGAAAGTTTATATTCTTTCCTAAAGTTGAATTCAGTACTGCGGACCAATGGCAGCTTGCTCCTGCCTCTGAAGAAAAGAGGAAGCTCTAAGGCTCATTGCTAAGTTTGGGGGTGGGGGATGGTGGCGTTTGGGGGGAACAGGGAGGAGCAAATTCAAAGTCTCACCCAACAGGACTGCAGACACGTGGACAGAACATCTGATCTTCTTGTCATTGCTGTTATTGTTTGTTGATAAAATATGTACTGAAGCAGAAAAAAAGGAAGATGAAAGAACGCAGTAAAGCTCAAACTCCAAGTCTTTCTCCTCTAAAGGAGAAGCAGAGAAAAGTAGAAGAATACCATTAAGGCCAACTTGCTTCCAGAAAGAAGTCCTAGCCCCCCTACAGCAGAGCTGCTGGGGGGTGTTAGGAGCAACTTCTTCATAGGTAGGGACCACCCTCCTCAGCTGCAGAGAGCGCTTACTGGAGAGGCTAGAAGGAAGTTTTCAGAGTTCTGTGGCATTTCTTTCTTCCGGACGTAACAGGGAAGAACAGAATCTGACTCCATGTTGATGCTGTTTCTTTCATTTTAACCTCTTCACTCCCTTGCTTCTGGTCCTGTGATCACTGAAAGAACGCTCTCAATAGCTATGTCACTTTAGTTGTGAACAACTCTGTGACTGTAGCCTGTCAGGCTCCTCTGTCCATGGGATTCTCCAGGCAAGAATACTGGAGTGGGTTTCCATGCCCTCCACCAGGGGATCTTCCTGACCCAGAGAATGAACCCATACCTCTTATTTCTCCTGGATTGGCAAGTGGCTTCTTTACCATTCATGCCACCTGGGAAGGCCTTCGACAGCTATAAGCATACGTTCTGGTCTGCCTTCTGGAACCCCACCCCGCTGCCTGAATGGTTAAACTAAAGTGCCTTTGTTCAGTTTATGGGGAGACAATCTGACCTTGCCCAGCTGTGAATGACTGCAGGAAAGAAAAAAATTAACACATCCCCTCCCAGATGTTGGCCAAGCCAGGAGATGTTCTGCAAGACTTGTGACCTTTTTACTTTACTTCCTCACCTCCTCCCCCATCTCTGTTCCAGAAAAGAAACTGACATCCAGACCCTGATAAGGTGGTACTCTGGGACTTTGGTCGGCCATCTTCTCGGATGCCTGACTTTCCAAATAAAGCGGCTATTCCTTGCCTCCGCACCTTGTCTCCTTGGCCTGTTGTGCAGCCAGCAGACTGGCCTTGGATTCGCTAAAAAAGGCAGAATAAGGGAACCTTCTAATATGCTGCCCTGAGCACCTGTCAGGAGCCCTTGAGAGCTTGAGGAACCTGAGGGTGGTATTTAATGTCTGCCTTGAGAAGACTAAAGCTGAGGCTGGTGATGGTCTCCTGGTGCCAACACAGAGGGGCTCATGGGAGTGATGACTCTTCTAATGCAAAGGCAGATGTGTCCCGGAGGCCACAAGGGAATTCTGCAGGGGCAGTTGGCCAGGGGATGTTTGATGGGGATTTTGTTTGAAAGGAGCAAAGCCCCCACAGTCAGAGCTAGATGGCTGGGTTTCTAGAAGGAAAGTCTTAGGAAGTGTTAGGAAGAGATTTTGCTCCTATCAAGGGAGATGCAGTGAGAAGTCCCTGCAGGAGGCTCTTAAAAACAAAAGACAACAAACAAAATATAGCAAAAAGGCTAGCAATTATACGTTTGCTATTCAGAGGGTGCCCGTCTCCAGATTATGACTGTGCCTTCTATGAGAAATGGTTGAATTCTCTTCTAATTGCCTCTGGTTTGGGGCAGGGGGAGGGATGTAAGAAGACAGCAGGGGAAGCCACAGAGAGGAAGCCAGGCACACCCACTGCCTGTCCTCCAGGACTCAGGCTTGGGCTTAAGAAGAATCCTGCAGGTGAATGAAGTTTGGCATTCCGACAGTTATAGTGTACTGGATGTTTTTGGACTCGATTACTGAACTGAGACTTCTTTAGTGATTAAAAGGAGTTTGGACAGCTTTAAGACTTTCCTGAAATTTTATCCCAGGGATAGAGAAGACTAATCCAGAGTGATTTTGTAGGGACTCAGGAAGAAAGAATAAATTTACTCTTTTGATTGCACTTTATCCGGTCCAGTTCATTCAATAAAAGAGTTATACATGTGAGACTGGTTTCTAAGTACTACAGAAGCTATTGTTATGAAAATATTAATTCGGCTAGAAAAGTGTGTGTATATGTGTATGTGAGGAAGACAGAGAGAGAGAAAATGAGAGGGAGAGGTAAAGAGGGAATAAACTGGTTCTCAAGTCAGAAAGGTCTTTCTGGTTCTTTTTTTAAACTGAGTATGGTTCCCTGTGTTATACAGTAGATCCTTGTTGTTCATCTATTTTATATACAATAGTTTGTATCTGTTAATCTCAACCTTCCCTTCATCCCCCCCACAATCTGCCTCTTTTACTTTGCTATGTACTTAAAGATTCTAAGACTGAGTTGGTTTCTTCATCTGTAAAGTGGGAATCACAATGATGCTGCTTTCATCGAAGGCTCTGGGTACAAGGTGGCCTCTCTGGAGCTGGTGGGCGGTGCAGAGGACACGCCCACAGCCATCAGTGGACCAGGTGACCTTGATAACTCTAATTTTCCTTCTTGATTTGTCAAATGGCTGATCATCTCACCTGCTCAAACTCCATTGCTCAGTCTCAGAAATATTTGTAGCCCCAAATGTTTTGGGGTCTTCCAAGGATGGAGACAATGCTTGTAAAGCATTTAGTATGCTGTTTATTACACAGCAGGCATTCAATACACATGAGCTATTTTCATGACTGTCTACTTTTCATCTATTTCTCCCCACCCTTTTGAATCTGGTTACACATCCTTTCCCATCACCACCTCCAACCAGCATCCAAGTTCAAGGAAAGTGTGGACTTCATTTATGTCTTTATTCTCTAAAACTCTCAGAACATTTAGTATTCAACACATTTGTATTGAATGAGTAATGTGAAGATGCAACAAACAGATTCTGCTCTAGTGTGCTCATTAGTAAGTTAAAAATAACTATGAAATCAGAGTGGAGACTTCCATATGAAGTAGAGAGAAACTGAGGGTTCAGAGGGTGAACCAGACCTCCAGGTCTGGTTAAATCGTGAAGTGGAGAGTTCACTGGAGTGATTTACAGTTGAATGTTCCAGGAATTCCCATTCGTTCATCCATCCGTTCATTCATCCATTCTTTCTTTCCTTCACTCAAGAACGATTTGAGTGCCTCATCTATTTTCAGTCTTTTAGCCACTGATCGTAACCAATCAAATCAGACACAGACTGTCTCTGGGGATTTTGAGGGCTCCTTGCTCAGAGAGATGAGCTAGGAGCTACAGGCTGGGAGAACACAGCTCAGTCATATGGACCTTAAGTTCATGGTGAAGTCCACGCTTCTGGGGCATGACTGGGACAGCCAGGTGAAGGAGGGATGTGGTCAAGGCTCAAGCCACCCACTGGTTGACTGGTTGGGTGCTGAAGAGCCCTTACTGACCTGCAGACTGTCAAACACGCCTAGGTCAAGGTTAGGCTAGCAGAAGAGCCCAAATCTCTAACCAGCACTAAAGGGAAGGGAGGGCAGGGCTCAAACCAAAGCAAATCCTATGACCCTCTTTTTAGGAAGAGCCACTTTTCCTTTCCTTTGTTTAATCTAATATACATTTTTTTGGTCCTCTCTGAACGTGCTGAGGGATTAGCAGTGAGGTGGCAGGGCTGTGGATGTGTGAGCCATCTGTCTGTCAAGCTGTCAGTCGTTGTGAAGGGACCACAGAATTGGCCCAGGTTGGATCAAAGGCTCTGGGTACAAGGTGGCCTCTCTGGAGCTGGTGGGCGGTGCAGAGGACATGCCCACAGCCATCAGTGGACCAGGTGACCTTGATAACTCTAATTTTCCTTCTTGATTTGTCAAATGGCTGATCATCTCACCTGCTCAACTCTATTCCTCAGTCTCAGGAACATTTGTAGCCCCAAACATTTCTGTTTCCCTGCTCCTTCTTATGTGTCCTTCGGTTAAACAGTCACTTTTCCTTGAAGAAGATCATAGCTTTGAGGTCAAGGTTTCAGGCTTTTGAATGACTCCAGCCTATTGACCATTAGGAGTAATGCCAACTTTTTTTTTCTTTGTGACAAACCAGCTTGATAGATAATCATTTTTCTGCAATTTATATGTGTTTTAGAGAAATGTGTATTTATTGACTGTTCTCTGAGAATACAGTGTCAGGCAAAATTTTTGTTTAAAAGGTGCATTATCTCTCATAGATCGGCACCCGCATTAGGAAACAAAAAGAAATGAGCACTTTCAAAACAGAGATGCAGAGTGGCTATTGGAATGCCTGCACCACTAGATTCAAAAATTCTCTGGCAACTTTTCAGCTGGAAAAAGGTTCTGGAGTGGCGGAGGATCCACTGACCTGGGAAGTCAGAGACCTGGGTCTTCTTCCTGTGTCTTGCCTTCCTGTCTCTGAGAGATTTCAGTTCAGAGCACACAAAAATGACAAGTGACATCAGGGTGCAAGGATGATAATGAATTGAATTCTAAATGTTCTTACTGCAATAAACCTCTTGGACTACCATGAGCAATGCTCAGCATCTTTCTTCTCTAAACTATAAAAGCATACAATTGACAGTTTGAACAATTCAGCTGATCCATTATAGTATAATTCCACTTTGTTCGCTGTTTTCTTTTGTTTATTTGTTCATAAATTCATTTATGGGATTATCCATTCACTCTTTCAATTATTCATTCATTTGAGCAACAAAGATATCATTTGTTTTTTGATCAAATAATGGAGTCACAAATAATGGGATGCTGTGAGATCAGAACGATAGGCCAATTTGCTGCCTTTCTCTGAAAGTTCCCTTAAGAGTGCCACTCTTATGGCTGATGGACACCCATGCTACGGCCTTTAAGCAAGTCCCATATGCATAACATTTGGTCCAAGTACCTTTCAATTTGGGGTAGTGAAGGGTACCAAGGTGTGAAATAGTACAAAATATGTATGGTTTCTGCCTCTGGTTTCTGACACGGGACTCCAGGAGCGCAGGACTGTGCGTTCTCAGTCGTGTCTGACTCTTCACAACCCCATGGACTGTAGCCCACCAGGCTCCTCTGTCCATGGGATTCTCCAGGCAAGAATACTGAAGTGGGTTGCCATTTCCTTTTCCAGAGGATCCTCCCAACCCAGGAATCGAATGTTAGCATGTAAATTCTTTACCACTGAGCCACCTGGAAGCTCTGAAAGTCCTGTAATTTCCTGGGTGATGAGAGTACTAGGAACATCTTTGGTCCTGGTTCCTGATACAGTAAAGTTTGTAATTTCCTGGGTGAGAGGAGCCGCCTTTGTTCTAATGAGGTGACTCTGGATGGGATCCTGGATGAAGTGCTGGTCACTCCAGAAGGGAAAAGGGCTAAACGTGGAGTTAATGATCTTTCATGCCTCTATGCTGACACCTCCATAAAATCCCTAAAGTACAGGGTTCAACAAACTTTGGAGTTGGTGACTATGGAGGTGCTGGAGAATGGCATGTTTGAAGAGGGCTTGGGAGTGCCACGTCCCCTCCATATACATCGCCCTATACATCTCTTCTTTCTGAGTGTACAACCGTATCATTATCTATTCTTTCATACTTGACTGGTAGGCATCAGTAAGGGTCTGTCTGTGTGCCGCTCCAGCAAATTAAGTGAACACAGAGAAAGCGTTGTTGGAACTGATGCTCTGCATCTGGTTGGTTGGAAGCAGAGGTAGCAACCTTGACTTGTGATGGGCATATGATGTGTGTGTGTGTGTGTGTGTGTGTGTGTGTGTGTTCTGGTTTTGGGGAGGTGGGGGCAGTCTTATGCAACTGAGGCCTTAACCTATGGGATCTGACATAATCTCTTGGTAGGTAGTGTCAGAATTGGGTTGAATGATAGGACTCCCAGCTGGTGTCACAGAACATTGCTTCTAGGAAAATCCTTTGTACATTTGAGGACCAGAAATGAAGTGAAGCATCAAAAGTGAAGTGTCTCCATGAAGGGAGATGGAGACACACACAGAAACTGGATTCTTTCCCTACATAGGAAGGAAAAGCTAGGGTTTTTTTTTTTTTTTTTTTTTTATACAAGATAGAGACTAATTAACAACAGCAACAACAAACTCAACTCTGAACAGTTTGCCGGTAACATAGTAGCCAAGATGGGTATTTAACAGGTGATACTGGAGATAAAGCCAGTTATAAAGCTTGAATAGGGGTATTTGCTTCAATTGAGGGTTGAGAAAGGAAAACAACTCTTTCCGATTCTGTCAAAGGAAATAGGCTTGAATTGAGGATCAGGTGATGAATTGTGAGAACAGAAGAGAGGAAAAGTGCTATTACCTTTCTTACAACAAGGTGAAACTTGATGAATAAGGGAAAGGTCAGTAGGACCCAGATGGAAATGCTCACTTAGGTCCTGGGTATTTACCAGGGGCTCGATCTACAAAAGAACAATACCATCTCAAAGCCAGTGCACAGGAGGGTATAGTACTGTCTTCCAATTTCCAGGAAGAGAATGACTCAATTCTTAGTCCAAAACTAAAAACCTTGGAGTCAGAAGAAGATACAGATATTTATTTACCAGAAATGAAGGAACACATCACGATAAAAAATGCCCTAAAAAAGAAGCATTGGTGTGTGTGTGTGTGTGTGTGCCCAGTCATGTCCTACTTTTTTCAACCTCATGGACTGTAGCCTGCCAGACTCTGTCCATGGAATTTCCCAGGCAAGAATAAGTGGGTTGCCATTTCCTTCTCCAGGTGATCTTCTCAACCCAGGGATCAAAATTGTGTCTCCTGAGTCTCCTGCATTGGCCGGCAGATTTTTTTTTTTATACCACTGTGCTACCTGGGAAGCTCAAAAAAGAAGCATCTCTGCCCCAACTCTGGGTCTCGGTGTCCTCATCAGTTCAAGAAAGAGAAATTGGAGTAAAAATACAACCAATGACAGATTCAAATACCTATAATGTCCAGCATGTGAGTAACATATATCACAATACGGAATGATGAGGACTAGGTTGAATTGGAAGATGTGTCCAATAGTATACATAGAAAGATAATGTTTCTGGAGCCAGCTCCAGACCGTTAATTTACAACCCTTGGAATAAATTAATTTTCCATCATTAAAAATCAAATTCCTCTAAATTTAGCCAGGTGTGGTTTGTGGCCACATGGCTGAAAATAATCTACTGATTACGGCATCAGATTTTATGGACTCCAAAACAACTTCCCTGGAGTAATTTTTCCCAGCAAAGTCATTCTACATCCCTTGTCATTCTACATCCCAAAGTCATTCTACATCTATACTTTCTGTTCCCTTGCTAAATGACCCAGAGGAAGATTCCAAGTAAAGGGTCAGTCACCGAATACTCTGAGAGGCATCTGGTTGCCAGAGCTCATCCAGGAGCCTGATGCGAGCATTTGAGCTCTCCCCAGCCTCGGCCCGTGGCTCCCTGCTTTGCCACAGTAGCCTCCTGGCAGCTATCGCTTGAAAGGAAGCAAAGGAGTTCCTCCCTCCTTTCCACCCCCAGCCCCATCCTCCAGTGGCAATGGCTTTGTTTCCACCACCAGCGGCATCCCCTTTCTAGAGTAACGCGTGTCTTTCTAGCTCAGCCCTGTACGTATCTGGGTCTCAGCTGCCACGTGACTCCTCGCATCCCTCTCTCTCATTGCTGTGTTCCTGTTCAGTTCTCAGTCATGTCTGACTCTTTGCAACGCCACGGACTGTAGCCGACCAGGCTCCTCTATCCATGGGATTCTCCAGGTGAGGATACCTGAGTGGGTTGCCATTTCTTCCTCTAGGGGATCTTCCTGACCCTGGGATTGAACTCTTGCATTTCCTACATTGGCAGGCAGATTCTTTACCACTTCGCCACCTAGGAAGACCTGCCTGGGTGCAATGAATCCCGCTCAGCATGGACTCACCTTTGCTGTCCTGTCACAGTTCTGCTGCTCATCCGAGGCCTCCAGCAAGACCTGCAGCTCTCTAAAATCCTCTTGGTTTCTCTCCTTGCCAGGGGATGCTCACGTACTCTGTGATCAGGGCCCTGGGCTCCATAGCCCAAGCTCTAAGGAGTCATCTTTCTCACTGCCAGTTCTTACCCAGAGCCTGGAAAGCAAAGGCAGAGAGAGGCTGATTCTCTCCTGCAGTGCTTTCTATGTTTGGATTCTCTAGATTTCTCAGAACAGCCAATTGGAGGTCGCTAAACTGGTTTCTTCCTCCTAAGAATCCCAGAGGCCTGGGCAGCTTCTCAGTAAATAAATATTTGCCTCAGATTCTATTGGCAAGCAGAAATGTCTCATTATTCACCTCTGGATAGAAGGGAGTCTGCTCTCTACTCTTCTTAGCCAGACCTTAGATCTTCCTTTCCTGGCTTGGATATCAGCCAAAACATCTCACCTTTCCCCTTTCTTTCCATTTGAAAAGCTCAGAGAAGGAGGAGGAAAAAGTTGGTGTGTTAACCTTCTCCTTACCCCCACTTCTTTTTCTTAAGTTTGGAGGTGAGGAGGCTGAATGATTGAAAATACCCACCGGGCTTCTTCATCTTCTCAGCGGTTAGAACAAACGAGGAGGGCACAGCCTGGAGCAGCGCTCTTGGTCTTCACCAGGCTGGGATACGGAGAGTGGAACTCTGGGTACCATCCGTGGAGCCAGACGTGATATTATATACGAGGTCTCATTTGCATCTTTAGATGTAACACCGGGGACTTTTTTGGTAATCTTTCTATTTGGAGGATTTCTGGCCCTTAGTGTTAAACGGCTCTCTGGGGGGAATGCTCCATATTTTATAGTTCAGGTTGGGTTTTCTGCGGAGATGTGCTTGATGGGCGCATAGGACCTGCTTAGTTTTATGTTGGTCCTGCAATCTCTGCTCCTTGAAAATCTGTTACTTCTTTCTCAAGATGTTACTGCGTGCTCTATAAGGGCTCATTTATGCATGAATAAGCAGGAGACAGAGTCCTCAGACTGGCCTCTGGGAAGATCTTTGGGTTAAGACTCTGTAGGCAATTTTCAACCTACCTGTAAAATTGATATAATACATTGTGATGTCATAATCCTGATATTTGGCTGGACATTCTTCAGTAGAATAGTTCCAAATATACGATGCCTGCCTGTGTTCACACATGTGAATGAACACACACACACACACACACACACATATAATCAGTGCAGAAGCAACGTTATTTTATATTGAAGAACTTGTCTACATATAACACTGAGTACAGGGCTCTCAGAACATGGAAGGAGCTTACAGGTTACATAACGGCTGACTACAGGAGGAGTAGGGGCTTCCCAGGTGGCTTGTGGTAAAGAATCTGCCTGCCAATACAGGAGAAACAGGAGATGTGGGTTCAATCCCTGGGTTGGAAAGATCTCCTGAAGAAGGAAATGGCAACCCACTGAGGTATTCTTGCCTGAAGAATCCCATGGACAGAGGAGCCTGATGGGCTAGAGTCCGTGGGATTGCAAAGACTTGGACACGACTGAGCATGCATGCGCACACACACACACACACACACACACACAAACACAGAGTAATTTTGGCTTGACTTCCTGGCATGGGGCTCTCTTTAAAACTGGGACCATTCTGCCCTTCCTCATGATAAGCCAAGCTGCCTCCAAGCCTCTGCAGTCTTTCTGCTCAACCCATTTGACAGATAAGAAAATAGAAGCTTAGAGAACCAGAAGGCTAATTTTCTAAGTAAAGCCAAGAGAGCTATATTTTATCCTAGCAATTGGTGAATCTGAGTTTGATGAAATTTTAAATTCAACCAAGTTGATGCATTAAATGAACTTATGGTTTATTAGAAATGAAAGCTCCTTAGAAATCATGTCGGCCAGCCACTTCCTTCTGTAAATGAAAAACTGAATCCGAGAGCAGTTTGTATGTGTCCCTCCTGTGATCATCTTTCTCTAATAGATCCAATCTTTGTGCTATCCACCCCTCTCCAAGGTTATGGTTGTTTCCTTTATGCTGAGGAAAAATCGTCTTAAAACTCAAAGCTGGCAGGATTTTAGAGACCTATGTTTTCTCCACCCAGAGGTTTATATTCAAAAGGATCAGTAAGCAAAGGAGAAAAATTTTTATTAACAGTTTTGAAACTAGAACATATTGTTTTTAATGTTAGAAAACACATTTTGGTCCATATGCAACCTGGATTGTTGAATAAAATAAAAACTACCACTGTCCCCTGTCATTACCGTTGTTTGAACTATTTATTTCTACCTTGAATGAGAATTTTTTTTTACAAAATATTCTTAATATTTACATGTAATTTTTTGTTTCATTGAGGGAATTATGTTAAAATAGAGCTTTAGGTGTTCTCATACATCACAATTGTTTTGTAAAAGACCAGTGAAAGTGAGTGTTAGCAATCATGTCTTTGTGACCCCATGGACTGTAGTCCACTAGACTACTCTGTCCATGGGGATTCTCAGGCAAGAATACTGGAGTGGGTTGCCATTCCCTTCTCCAGGGCCTCTTCTTGACCCAGAGATCAAACCCGAGTCTCCCACATTGCAGGTGGACTCTTTACCATCTGAGCTACCAGGGAAACCTTTTAGAACACTGTATTTGATAATATTACAACAATTGTTACGATAATGACTATCACCTATAGGATATTTGTTACAGCCTAGAGTTGACACATTAAATGTTTAAACTCATTGAACATATCCTAACGTTGAGATTCTGTGAGTTAAACAGCTTGATCACCTCTAGTTAAAGATGAGGAAGCTAAGCCCTGCAGCTAATAAGAGATGTGCATTGTGTGGGGACCACATGCCCAGCTCTACGTTGCTGGACACGAAGCTCCAAGGATGAGCACGGTGGCACCTCTGTCTTCATAACCCAGTCACGGAGCAAATCATGTCCTGGTGTTGAGCTGAGTCCACGGCAGGGTCCTGGAGGCTTCAGGGGATGTTAAGAGGAGAGGGAACCAGAGCACTCCTGCTCCCCCTACACATGCTGTTTAGTGCAGAGTGGACATGGGGTGCACTAGTCAAATCCCAGGAGCAGCTGGAGGGAGCTGCGGCTGGAGGGAGCTGCAGCTGTGAACACAGAAGGGAGGAGGGCAGAGCTGTGGTGGCAGGGGGAACCCCCCCGTCCACTCTTGCTCTTGTCCCCCTTCCCCTCTGCTTTGTCCCCTAAATCCTGTCCTTAATTTATAGAGGTGTCTAAACATTATTTGCCTTCAACCAGGCTAACCCTGACTTGATGAAGAGATACAGTGAATAAAGGTTGGAGACATCTCTGTGTCTTAAGACTTACCTTTCCCATTCATTGCATGAAGGGGTAAATTGTGTGTGTGTTTGTACATAAATATATGTAGCTGTATGTATGTGAGTGTGTATATGTGTTTATATGAGGATGTGCATATGTGTTTATGTGAGGATGTGCATGTGTGAATATGTGCATATTTCTATGTGCATTTATGTGAGTGGATGTATGTGTGTATGCATGCATGTATGTGTATGTGGTTTATGTATGTGCATGTTTATATATGTATACATGAATTTACGAGTATATGTACGCATGTGTATGTGAGTATATGTGTGCATGTGTATGAAAGAATGTGTAAGTTTATGTGGGCGTATGTATGTGTGTGTATGTACAGTACATGCATGTAGGTGTATATATATGCATATGTGCATATGTGTGAGGTATATGTATGGGTATGTTGGATGTGTGTGTGTGCATGCATGTATGTGTATGTGTGTATGTGTGCGTGTACAGTGTGTGTATATATGTGTGTATGTGTTTGTAGGTATCTGTGTGCATGTGCGTGCAAGTGGGTATGTGTATATATATAGTGTGTGTATGCATGTGTATATAGGGATATGCATATATGTGTGTGTGTGTGATGTGTGTATGTATATATGTACACAATGTGTGTATATGTATAAGTGTACAATGTGTGTGTGTGTGTGTGTGTGTGTGTGTAGCTTTAAAATAGGCTCCATCAAATGGTCAACCAGTCCTGGCCTTTCATCCTGTGGGATTCCAACTGCCACCCTCACAGCCTCTCTTTGCCAGGAATGCCTCAGGGCTCTGGGATCTGAGGCACCTTGGTTTTCCTTTCCATTACTCTTGGTTTGGGGTTTTGTGCTGTTTCAATTTGTGGCCTTTTCAGAACTTTCCAGAAGTACAGAGCCTCCATTTATTATAACTTTGCATTTTGTTATTTACACTAAGAAGCCGTTGTGTGTGAGCAGCTGCATATTCACATTTATCATGCCTGCAGTCTAGTGCACCAGCATTTTTAAGAGCTGCACAAGATTTTCTTTGCACCCATATCAACAGGTGAGGGCCAAAGGGAGTGCCCGAGAAACACAGACACTGTTTTTCTTTCCTTCCTTTCTTCCTGATCAGAGGCAGGCTGGAGCCACTCCTGAGGAGCGTATTTACCAGTCCAGTGTATTTCTTCAGGTCTTTTGCTACTCAAAGGCTCAAGGCTACTCAGGGCTTCCCCTGTGGCTCAGCCGGTAAAGAATCCACCTGCAATGTGGAGACCTGGGTTTGATCCCTGGGGTGGGAAGATCCCCTGGAGAAGGGAAAGGCTACCCACTCCAGTATTCTGGCCTGGAGAATCCCATGGACTGACCGTATAGCCCATGGGGTTGCAAAAAGTTCGATGTAAATGAGCGACTTTCACTTTAGCCACTCGAAAAGAGTAAATCCCCCTTTTCAGTGCAATATTTCTTCTGTCCCTTTAAAGTGGACAACTTTGGCAAAATCTGATATTATAAATGGATCAGCAAACTTGATAATGAGAGTATCAATTTCTTCTGAGCAGAGGTTCAGCAATTATTAAGAATGCATGGTGAGGATTAGAGATACTTAGGAGCTCTTTCTCTATTATCTGAGACACTGTGAGGTGAGATTAGTGGGGGAATCATTTAATCACAAAGTATTTATGAAGAACCTACTCAAGGGTTGGTCCTGTGATTACACAATAATGCATACAGCATGTTTTAATTTCATAGAGCTTGAGAACAACTTGGGTAGTGCAAAGTATATACCCCACAAAGCCCCACACCACCCAAAGCAGTACCTGCTTGGTGTTTGGTGAAAATGATAAGGGATGGATGGGAAAAGAAGTTTCAACTGTGTCTTGAAGGATGGCTTTTACTGTGTGCAGGAGAAGAAAAATATTTCTCTTATTCTCCAGATAAGAGAAATACTCTGTGTGTGTCTTTGATTTCTCTCTTAATTTCTTGTAGCTAATTAGCTGATAGGTTTGTCGATTTAATTTCTACAATGTTATTCAATCCATTCTTAAGTGACTGGTTTTATGTTTGTTTGTTTCCTGAGCAAAGACCCAGTACATACTAAGCAAAGGGGAAAAACTTAGATGGAAGATCATAAGACTGCTATCTTGAAGAATAACTTGTTAGAGTTTAGGACATTCACAGCAGGTGGAGAGTGAGGAGGCAAGGAATCCTTGAAATGAAACTCCAGTGAGGGAGAACCCCATGTTTTGTAAGTAAATAAACTGCCCAAATCTCTGACTAACCCTTGAAATATGCATGTGCAGAGTAGACTCCATGCATTCCAGCTAAGACACAAAGAAATGGACAGAGGTTTCAGTGTCTTAGCACCAAAAATTAGATTGAGCTTTGACTCTGAGATTTCAGGTGTTCAAGCTGGATTTAGAAAAGCCAGAGGAACCAGAGATCAAATTGCCAACATTCGTTGGATCATCAGAAAAGCAAGAGAGCTCCAGGAAAAACATCTACTTCTGCTTTCTTGACTATCACAAAGCCTTTGACTGTGTGGATCACAACAAACGGGGGGAAATTCTTCAAGAGATGGGAATACCAGACCTCCTGACCTGTCTCCTGAGGAATCTACATGCAGGTCAAGAAGTGACAGTTAGAAATGGACATGGAACAACAGATTGGTTCCAAATCAGGAAAGGAATACATCAAGGCTGCATATTGTCACCCTGCTTATTTAACTTACATGCAGAGTACATCATGCAAATTGCTGGGCTGGATGAAGCAC